GAGAGCGCGTAGTTCTAGTTTTATTCGTCGCATCGGGTCATGCTATACCTTTTTGGAAAGCTCATTTCACGCGCTAACACGTGTTTGATTGATTGTGGTTCCTTTTAAGTCTTTCGTGAGTTATAGCGTCGCAAAAATGGAGCAAAATAAAGAGAAATCGGCATATTTTAAGTACTACTACGATAAAGGCAAAAATGCATCTCAAGCCGCCAATAAAATTTGTGCAGTTTATGGACCCGATACAGTTTCCATTTCCATCGCACAATGATGGTTTTAACGTTTTCGTTCTGGTGTAGAGGTGGTGGAAGATGCGCCACGCTCCGGAAGGCCTGTCGTTGAAAATTGTGATAAAATCGCTGAATTGGTTGAGAGACCGGCATAGTAGCAGTTGTAGCATCGGTCAAGAGCTGGGCATGAGTCATCAAACCGTTATAAAATAAAATAAAAAAAATAAAAAAATAAAAATACCGCAAGACTTTTTTGACAACCAATATAAATGATGATCGTCACGTTGACGATATGAGTCGTTTTAGCAATGTCCGCCTCTCTGTCCGTTTCTTCTGTACGTTATGCGAACTAGTCCCTCAGATGTCGATCTTGAATTTGCAAACGTTGCTTTCTCTTCAAGAAGCTGCTTATTTGTTTTAACCGGTGATGCCTTATCAATATAGCATTTAGCTACCATACAAACTAACCGATCAAAATCCAGTCCTCTTTGTCGGTCCAATGTTGTAAAATTTTTTACAGTACTTTCTGACCCCTTCAAATGAACTAATTCTGCTAACTAAGGTACTTTTAAACTTCTTAAGCTTAGATAAATTTAAATTAGAAAAGGTCCTTATAGAGAGTTGAATTGCTTTATAAGCCATCCAGAAAGGACGTAAGTAGTCTATAGATAACAATAAACTAAAATCCTACATGTAGGGTGTTCCCAATATAACTGCGTAAAAGCCAGTAGAGAAATGGCCGCATAAAAGTCCACTTGACACTTGAGGTTAGGCACTCTTTAACCGGCCGTGAATGCACTAGTAATGTGTTCAAGGTCTGAAACTGGAGCTGATGGAGAGCTCCTGATGGGAAACCCCACCAAGGAAGTTTGGCTTTAAATAATGAAAGAGCCGCCAGAGTTCGGTTTGGTGACTCAATGATCCAAGTGATCCATATGAAGTCAAAATGAATGAGAATTTTCGAGTGTACAGACAAGTGCTTTCTTAAGAACCCAAATTTTCTGAGTCGGATAGCAACTTTCGTAGCCCTACACCTTCCGACGAATTCTACGTACAATATAGGCAAGTTAGCCTTAAGTGACATGATTGGAGTGGGCTTTAGTGCACCACACATGCTGATGAGCGCCGCCCATTGAACGCTCTCGAGTTTCTTTCAATGTGTAGTCTTTTTAGAGTCCTCCATCACATAAATACTCCATAGAACATAATGGTATTGATAAGCGTGTTGTAGAGCTCAAGGACTACTTTCGGTGAGAGACTCCAGATTGTGCCTGTTTTGCTCTCTCCTCGATATTCTACCCCCATCAAAGCTTCCTATCAAGGATGAGCACGGATTTGATATGTACAATCTTTAACAATCCGCAGCAATATAAAAACTCATGACTACTCAACGATGGCCAATTCAATTAAAACTTTTTATACCTTATGAAATGACTTAGATGAATGCTAGTCTAAATATGAGTACTAGAGAAAGTCGATATTTTTCTGTAAAATCGTGTATATGGAAAATGTTCTACGAATCATTTTGAACAACTATTGGCTAAGCCGGTTTCGGCATTATTCAGCTTCGGATGAGAGTTATTTATTATGGTTATACGATTCGACCGTAGGTGCACTTAGATATATGGCAAGGAATGAGAATTGCAATATATTGCCACATATTCCATTCCATATATTTCGAAAAATGGAATTTCTCATTATATTTGCTCCCACTAACTTACACCAATATCTCGCTCATTATTATTTTTCTAAGTACTTTCTAACTACAATTATTAATCAGCAAAATAAATACTCCATGAAATGGGAAATATTTTTATCAGCTCTTATTGGGAACTTCCGCCTCTTAATTAAAACAAACATTTGCGCATGAAACTGGTTTTGTTCCAAAAGCACTTAAGTACATACATATACATACATGAATAAACAAAATTTTTTAAGAAAAGCTATAGGCAGGTCTATATAATTCACAAACGCTTTGGGCGCACCTATCACGACTTAAATACGAAACTAATTGCAGCTAAATGAAGACTCAGTCGACTGTATGTTAGTTTGTGACCATTAAGCTGTAGTTAGTTGGTTCGAAGCGCGCTATAGATCTCTATAGGAAAATAAATTATTTTCTAACCTATTTTGAAGAATGCAAAAGCTAATGATGAAAATCTATTCAACAGTCAGCGAATCTCTAAAGCTATTGCACCACTCGATTGCCTAGTTTAGTATTTTTTTGTTGTAGAAACACGGCCACAAATCGACAGCATCAATTTCAGCAAATGAGCTGCTATTTTTAAGTGAGTTGCGTTGAAGTGACTTGTCGCTAAAATGCAATATAAGCACTCGTTTGTCCAGCGTATGGCGAAACCACACAAACGCACACACGCGGAAGCCCCCGCGCACTTCGGCCAACTGTCTGGGGAATAAAACGCATGCGCAACAATTGTTTGCGGCAACAGGCGATTGGGCCACATTGGCGCGTTTGTTTGTATATGACGCATTAAATGCTAGTTTCGCATGCTCCGCGGCGTTTTTTGTTATCGTTTTAAAGAGCTTCATTTGTTTTTACACATTTGTGGGTTGACGCTGAGCTGCGGCCGGTCTGACGGCTTGGCGGCGGGTCTGGCTGATATATGAGCTATGAATTTGCTAAAGCTTTAGCAGCTATACAAACAACTAAAAAACAATTTTGCGCACAGAAGAGGTGCGGTTTTGGTGTTGCCACTTGTGACGTAAGCGTTTTGGTTGGAGGCGCCGACTTTTTTTTGTTTTTCAAAATATTGCTGCATTACGCCGCGCTTTTTTTTGAAGTAGCTTGGGTACTGCGAATATACCAAATATATTATAATAATTTATATATAGGAATATATATAGATATGTCATATATTCCCACCAAATAACTTCATTAGGCATTTTTTGTTTTTTTTGCATTTACGGTCCCGTTATAGTTAAGTACGTGTATTTATATATACATGTAGTATACATATACTATACCGTTAAGTCGTTATTATTTAATAATGCCATGCTTAGTGATAAAACCGCAGCAAATACCTCACTAACCGCTAACTGAGCAATTGGAGCGTGAACGACACTGTTTAGTTATTTATTTACGAACATTTTGCAACGCTCAGGCGCCGCTTACAAACGTTAATTGTACATCCAAAGGCTTTTATTTATAAATTCATTTTGCAACGATTTTGTAACTATTCAATTGTGATTGCCTAATGGAGCTTTGACTCTGGTATAATTGAGCTCACTAATGAAGTACACTTAACTTATAGAAAATATATTCCCACGAACCATAAGGTAAGGCTACGTCTGATAGAAAATATACGCGCTTCTCAGACTATAGATATACCATATAAAGGATGGTACTGTATTAATAGTAGAGAGAGAGAGCCAGCGAGACTTTTATGCTTCGTGGGATATAATATTTTTGGTTGTTAATTTGTGTGGTGAAGCAATCATCCGCTAGTTGTTTGCTCAATGCCGTACAGCCCAGATGAGTAACGAAAACAACAAATGAAGTAAGTACTCATATATAGTTGTGCAAAAGAGTCAAAAAATTGGGTAAGAGGAGCTTTTTTAGCCATTCTCTCGTAAAAAAAAAGTCGTGCAGGAATTTAAAGGCCGTGAAAGCCGTAGGTTATTTGTCGTTACCCAGGAGGCACCAACTTCGAGGCAGCCTGCACTAACCTCGCTATCAATAGCATGATGATGAGCA